AAGCAGCCCAAGGAGTGCTTATGACTCAGTCTTAAGAAAGCCCAGGCTGCCTCCGTGCTCTCCACTGCTAACCAATGAGTCTGGAGCTGAAGCGTGCTCCAAACCACTCTAGAGTAAGGCTTCCTCTGCTTTTCTTTGAGCATAGCACTCAGGCTGGGAAGCAGGCTGACAGCACCATGCTCACAGGGCTGCTCGTGTGAAACCCCACCTGCTCAGCAGGCAGGGCGTGCAGCGGGACACGCAGCTGGGATGTGCCAGACATTGTCATTGCATTGCCTGGGCAGAGCTGTCTCCAGCTGCTGCCTGGGCTCTGTCCCCTTTCCTCTGCACCAGGGAGGCTGTGATTGTTTCTGACCCAAGCTGTAGTGGGGCTGGTCAGTCCCATGGGCTGATCCTGGTACTGCTTGCTGCTTACAGCACTTCAGAGCTTCAGAGGCCGCCAGAATTCTCCAGCATCTCCTCCATGCCTGCCATGGTGCTGGTGGCTCCTGGACCGCAGTGGAGCAAAGCTGTTCTGCTTCTGAGGATTTGTCTCCTTGTGCTTTTTAATCATTATTTTTAAAGGAGGGGGTGTAGGATTATCAGATAACTTCTCAGGGATGCTCTGCCAGCCTTGTGCAGCCTTATTATTTTCAAAATTGCAGCAGTGCCGGTTTGCTTTGCTGGGAACGTTCAGGCATCGATTTGTAGATTCTTTTGTTGCCTATATCAGAAAGTCCCATCCCCTCACTCCTCTGCACTGAAAGAAACAAAGAGCAAAGAAAGGTAGATGCTGTGTGGCAGTCTCTGAGACACCAGGGTGATTTCTAAGAACTGCGGAGCCAGTCACTGACTTGGTGGTTTGTTTTCATACACACATAGTCTCTCTCTTTTTTTTTTTTCCCAGTGGTAAATGAGGATACTTACTTGGGAAGAGAGCAGGCAGAAGGGAGGAGTGGGGCCAGGGCTGCTTGGGATGCTGAGCGCCCTGCTCCTGCCTGCAGAAACCATCCCAGAGCAGCTGCCTGCTGCAGGAATGGAATGGAGCTGCTGCTGCTGCTGGGCAGGTCCATGGAACACTGCTCTGGTGGAGGTGGGGAAGCTCAGGGACAGGTTACAGATTGCTCTGTGATGTTTATTTGTATACATGTGCTGCAGAACTTCCCCTGTTATTTGTCATGCCTGCTTATTGTTGTTTGAGTCTGGCTGTCCTTATCCCTGTGCAGAGGTGCAAAACCAGAGACCAGCCATGGCCAGCCCCATACGGAGCAGTGCACTGGAAAGGTGCTGGGCAGGAATGCACCTTTCTTGCTCAGTGAGGACGTGCAGCTGGCATTTCGTCCTTGTCTGGGAACAGAGTGAGCTTACCTGTGTCGTCTTATGTGACAGATCTCCTCTGCTTTCATATATACTGTGCCTGATTCTTCCCCTAGCAGTGTATGCGATAGAAGTGTGTTATGTTTTCCATTTGTTTATTTGCTTATAGTCTTGTTTTCAGCCCCTGCAGAACTTGATATAGGTACAGAGCTCCAGAAACGTACACATAACAGAATAATAGATAACTGTGATTTGGTTACAAGGCAATAATTTAAGCCGACAGGTTTAGCTGATAACATAAAACACACAAGAGAAATAAGATCAGTTTATAAATGTCAGCAGAACCCCGAGAGTGAGTTGCTGTCTTGAAGCTGATTCTGGTGTGGTTGCTCCATCTAATATATTATAAGGAGAAATAAACGGATGTCTGAAAAAATCTGGCTGACCAAGATTAAAAGAGTAGGGCTATAAATTAAATCCTTCCTCGGTGTCACTTTAAGCCACTTCCAAGACAGACAGGACACATCCGTGTATGACGAATGCTAACGCGTCACTGAGAGCTCGGGGACCCAGCACATACCCAGCATGTTGGCACCCAGCTCCTGCCTGGCACTCATTGATACGGGGCCGCAGGGGCTTCTCTGCATTGGTGATCTCTGGACAAGAGGAGCAGACCCAAGCCATGCAGCTGGGCTTTGTGTGCAGGACGCTGGTGTGATGTGGGGGGAGAGTTGGCTGGGTTCCTCCCTTGGCGGGTCTGGTCTTTTCTGCATGTCCAAAGAGGGGTGTTTGCAGTGTGAGCAACTGCAGCCACTCACTGGTTGGGTGAATCCGAGCGGAGGTGTTGATTACGTGGAAAGCCTTCCTTCCCTGCATGGGGAAGCAGGCATGGGATGGGACGAGGGGTAGAACTGGAGGAATTTGAGGTTGCTGGAAGGTGAGGAACAGCGTGGTTCTGTGTGTGAGTGTGTGACACACACCTGTTTGGGTAAGCTTTTCTTTTTCAGAGCCATCAAGGAGAAAAAAAGGGCAGAAAATCACTTATATATAAAATTGTTGTTACTATTTTTAATTGAGCTTTGGTTCCCAAATGCAACTTAATACAAACAATAAGTAAAAATGAATTCCTCTAGGAAAAAGAAAGCTATTAAGAGTATGATTCTGTATCAACAGAACGTTAAGCTGTGTAATTGCTTACATATGTATAGCTCTGGTGCGTGCTGCTAGTCGTTGAATAGTATCAAATTATAGGAATCAAAGACAATCAACTATTTTTGAGGGAAACATCTAGGAGCTACACGCTGAAATGAGATTAACGTGCAGGGTTTCCAGCTTGCTCATTTAAATCAGCAGTTTTAATCACATTGTTGAAGTCAGCCCACCCTGAAACACGCTTTGTGAATAATCCTCAGAAATGTCCCAAACTAAACAAGGCTGCAGCCCTCACCCTGCCTCAAACATCTGGAATATTTTAAGTGACTGCACAGATCTTTTTACTGAAAGCAGAGTTGTCTTTCTTGGTTTATTTAATAAGGCAATATGTTTGTCCTGCTGTTGCATGAACCCGTGCTGCTGTGCACAGTGGCAAGAAGAAAATCCTGCAGCAATAAATGCCGTTTAAATACATCAGAGCTGAGATTTCTGCTCTGGGCTTTGGACAGTCTTAGTCAAATCTCGTTTAGGACAGTGGAAAGAAGCAGAAGTAGAAAGGTTTGTGTCTTCTCTGATGGCAACGTCCTTAATTCAGTCGTGCTGGGTTTGTGAGCTCGTGCACGTTGGGGTTCAGATTCTCTTTTATTTACTGCTCGCTCAAAATAGAAACTGGGAGGACTGGTCACATGGGAGTCAGGCAGCCCTCCTGGAGGCTGCTCCATTGCTTTGCCTTTTTATGTTTCTTTTAAGTAAAGGCCGTCAGCCTTGTTCCTCTCCCCTGGCAACAGCGTGAACTAATGTGGCCAGATGCACCAGCAACATGAAAGCCAGAATACACTGTACTGTTGTAAGAGGGACGTTTATTTCTGGCTGCGTTTGACAAATCAGGGACTGCTTGAGCAGGTGCTGCAGTTGCAGCCTGGGCTGCCTGAGTGCTTTTTGACCCGGCGAGGAGAGCTGCTCACCTGCTGCTGGGAAGGACCCGGCTTTTCCCTCGCTGTCTCCCTGGCTAAGTGGTGGTCGTGTCCTTGGAGGAGGAAGGCATCCTGCATATTCAACACGTAATGCCATTTAATACATCTTTCTCTTGCCAGCAGTCCCTTGCCTCGATGCCTATTGAAACGCAGAGGAGGAGCAGCCCTTACAAGCTCCTTGTCAGCCATCGCAGCCCGGCTGCATGGGGAACACTCAGCTATCACAGCACATTTCTGCACAGCTGACCTCTGGGAAGGGGACAAGTGCTCCTCTCTTGGCAGAGGCTCCCATGTATAACAAGTCAAGGAGCAGTGGAGTGGTTGGGCTGCAAGGCTCTCCTGTGGGCTGTGTGCCATCTGCACCTGTGTGCAGGGGAGGCCAAGTGGCCTGGGCTCACATAGTTAACGCAGATAATCACATCAGTCCCTTTGTGTATCAAACCAAGGCAACGTCAAAAGGATGTGGTAGAGAGAAATGCACTCAGAAATCCTCCAAACTGGATTTCCCTGGGTTTTGTGAGTGTGTTTGTACCTGCTGCATGGCTTTAGGCTTTGAAATGTTTTTGTCTGAATTGTGACAAACGTTACAGTCTTAAGTAGGAAGCACTGCATCCTTTGATCAGTGAAATGTCTCTTTGGTCTTCAATAGGCGGGATCAATCTGTTGATTCCCTAGATTAGAGGATTTTATGTATGAGAACAGGCATTTATTGTACAAAATAATTATCCTTGTCTTCACTTCCCTTTGATAGGAGACACTACCTGTCTCCTACATGCTGAGTTGTTTTATTCTAGACATCATCTTAGGAAACAAAGGAAAGACAAGGAGGAAATCCATGTAGAGAAGCCAGTGAGCAGCTGTATGTCTGTCTGTGTGCTTCTGGGTATGTGCAGCTGAGATCTCCATGTTCCTTCAGCTGTGATCCTGTTTTCTTAAGTGGGCAAACTTCTTCCATTAATTGAAGAGGAAACAAAATGAAGAGGAAGCAACCAAACATTGCTCTTTCTCCACCCCTGTGCAACAGTTGGCTATCGTGATGTGTTTGTGCTGAATTGTGACCAAGAAAAATACTCTGAATTTCCCATCTTTTGTGCATTTAAAAGCAAAGCTTAATGTATTCCGTGTATTTTTGTTGGCAGGTAGCAGTGATCAGTTATTCCTTTTAATACAATATTTCCAAACCAACACAACCTCATATCGGTACACTTGATATTCAGCGCACCAGGCTGTACTCAGATGTGTGCTTTGATTTCATTTTGGCAGCTGCATTTTATTCAGCAGTCTATTCCCCTTTCTCCAAACAGTCTCAGAATCCACTCCTGATGTAGGTTTTTTAATGCTTGCTTAGGAACTGGTATGTAAGGTCAGTGTGGCATTTCTGCAGGGTTGAAGCAGCACCTGTGTCACAAGGCTGCTGCAGGAGGGGTGAGTGCTCAGCAGTGAGCAACTTGCTGTCTCTGCAGTGCAGGATGGGGGTTTCTGTGTGGCTCTTTGGAGCAGGAGCATTTGACTTCAGCCCTTTGTATACAAACCTGCAATAGTGCACGTGGCCTAAAGTAACCTCACTTTTGTTTATAGGTCAAGCTGTTCCTGCAGGGTCACACGTTCGGTTAAATCTGCAGACAGGAGAGAGAGAAGCCCGGCTTCCAGACAGTGAAAGTGGGAAAAGTGACACAAGAGAAGAGAGAAGAAGAAAAAGGTACAGTGACACAAAGCTCCTGTCTTGCTGCACAGATCTGGACAAACTGTGGTTTCATGTCTTTTATTAGCAGCCAGCATCCCTGGTGCACTCAATTGCTGTCTCTGCTGGAAAAGTAATTGCTGGTTTAAGGGTTCAGCAGTGCTGAAAACTGGCCCCCATCCTTTGTTTCCTTTGGAAGACGGGTAGAAGTGCTGTGTATGGATATACAGACACGTCTTTGTGTCTTCCTGTGCCACGATGAGGAGTGGCTGAGGGAGCTGGGGTTGTTAGTCTGGAGAAGAGGAGGCTCAGGGGAGGAGTTACTGCTCTCTACAGCTTCCTGAAAGGAGGTTGTGGTAAGCTGTGGTGAGCCTCTTCTCCCCTGTAACAGCATAGGACTAGAGGGAGTGGCCTCATGTTGCACCAGTGGAGGTTCAGGTTGGATGGTAGGAAATATTTCTTCGAAAGAGTGGTCATGCACTGGCACAGGCTGCCCGGGGAGGTGGTGGGTCTCTGTCCCTGGAGGTGTTCAAGAAACATTTCAGTGTTGTTCTGAGGGACAGTGGTTCAGTGGGAACTATTGGTGATAGGTGAGCGGTTGGACTGAATGATCACAGAGATCTTTTTCAACCTTGGTGATTCTACTATGCCAAAGCTACATTTGCAGCATGGCATCTCTGGATTGTATTTAGTCCTTTCAAATCTTAAAGCATCAGAGCAGCTGTAGGGGCTTCATTTGTGTTGACCTGAGCCCAGTATGGTTTGTTTACATGAGTTATTGCTGATGGGCTCCTTAGATCACACAGCTTTCCAAAGTTTCTCTCATGCTGGCTTTTTCCTTTTCCTTTAACAAAGTCAGGTTCAGTTGCTGTGGGGAACTTTCTTTCCTGAAGCACAGGGGTTTGCCATTGCATTTGCCATTGCAAATGGCACTTGTCTAGTTTGGAGTACAAAGAAGCTCATAAGCTTCCTGATGCCTCGACGACTGACTTTACTTTTTTCCTGTGCAGGTGTTTATGGCTCAGATAAGTTCCCTGAACCAATGAGGTCCATGTAAAAGTAATGCAGTGTCGTTTTTGTTTCTTTGTTTTTTAACGTTTCTGAGGAACTTCTGATTGGACTTACCCTTCATGAAACGTTGTGTGTGATGCAGAACATAACTTCAGCTGTAGATCTCCATGTTAAAGCTTGCAAGTTCTTAGTAATCTTCTAGCGACACAGTGGTCCCTTTTCATCTTTTTTTGTAATTCTGAAACATTTTCTGTTTTTCTGTATTCCTACATGAAAGCAGAAGCATGTATTAATTAGCAGTATTTACTGTGATAGGACTTGAGATTTTAGGTCAGCATGCAGATTCTAAAGCCTTTTGTGATTGTCAGGGTGAGGTGTCAGCAAACCACACACAGAACACAGCACTGGGACTAATCTTTTGTCGAGTGTGGCGTTTTTCCAGTTTTAAGTGAGATACATGTAATCTAGTGCTCTTAGCTCTTTTTCCCCTGGTATTATCCTTTGTTGATATATTACGGTGAAAATACTATAGATAAAATTGTTCACTCGTATAACGCTTTTTTTTGTTTGTTTGTTTCCTCTGCAAGACTGAACAAGATGGATATTGACACAAATTCATTCACATCCCAGGAGCTCAAAAAGGCATTGGCTAAAATGAAGGAAAGTGAGAAGGCAGAAAGAATGGTAAGGACAGTTCTTTGTTTCTAAAGCAAAGCACAGTATGCTGATGCAAATGCCCTATACAACATTTCTTGGAAATATGATGGTTAAATCAAGCCACCACATTTCTTGCTGTCACTCTTGGTGTGCCACTGCTGATGTGAAACTGTGAGATCTTTGTTGGGAACCCAGAGCAGATGCAGTCAGTAAGACGACTGACCCCTGAGAGTTTTCTGTTTGGGTACTACTGTGATTAGACTTGAATTAATAATACAGAAACATTACTTGCAAACACTTATGTGAACCCACGTACTCATTTTCTTTCCATTGTTTGCACTGTATTTTTATCTATTGTTTTGATTTATTTGTTCAACAGCCACTCAGTTCACAAAGATGTCTGCAAACCCCCAAAGTGGAATGAATTTCAGTGTGGTGATGTTTGTAAAGGAAGTTACATGCTGTTCGTTATCCTCATTAGAGTGAGGAAGTACAGAAAGTACAGCTCAGTCCCTTCTGTTTTGAATTCAGTGATGGTGACCAACCACTGGATGTAGCATCCTCCGAACACTTGGATCTAGAAGGGATCTTATGGCTTAAGTTTTCAATCTCGTGCCAGCGTGGCAGAAACCAGATGGCTGTGCTGAAACATAGGCTGAAATTTGCTTACAGAAGCTGTAAACTTCCTGTTTGGTTACAGAGGGGAGACAGTCTGAAGTTGAACTGAATATGCGTGCTGCTTAGAGCTGGTCCCCAAGATGGGAGCAGCCACTGGCATGACATGGGTGAATTATATATGATCCATCACATTAATCAAAGCCTTTTTTCTCCTTTTCTGCTTACAAGTATTTCCTTAAGCCCTAGCTCCTCCTGCTGCCTTGAAGTTGAAGGAAAATTGAGGTGGGAATCAAGGCAATAGTCTTTTGAGTCCAGGAAATCTTTTCTCCTCTATCTGGCATCAGGGCAGTGTTTTGTTTACTGTAAGATTATTTATGCAGCAGCCAACATTACTGATAGCAGGACTTCTTGAAATGAGTGTCATTTAAATGCAAAAATTAGTGACACTCTATTATATGAAAATTAGCCATATTTTAGAAAAACCTGTTAGAATAGCTATTGTCCCAGCAACTGGGCTAAAACCAGCTATATCTAATGGACCTAAAGTACTCCATTTAAAATCTCTCCTGCAGGGAGCAAATTCATCCTTGAAGTAACTGTGTCAAAGTAAATTGAGTTACACCGAGCATGCTCCTGTATATGCTATTGCAAAAGCAATTTCTTTTGTGTGGTTGGAGTTGGGATAGCATTCTCTGTGTCTGTGCAGTTCCTATAGTGATTAGGCTGGCAATCATTAGTGCGGATTGTACATCATTAGATTGCTTTTACCTCCATCTCTGTCACCAGTGCTGCAGCTCTCTGGGCTCAGAGCTCTGGCACAGCCTTCTCCTTCCTTACCACACACCCTTCCTTTGCTCTTGGTTCCTCAAAGCCCTCTGGGTGCTGTTTGTACAAGCAACTCTTCAAAATGGCCACTGTCTTAGAACGAGCCCCATGGCACAGTGCTTCAGCTGCCTCCCCTTTGTGCAACATACTGCTCAGCATGGTCAACTGCAACATCAGGGGAGTCTGCCCATGTCTGTGGGCAGTCAGGTATTGAGAACATCCCCATACAGGCAAATGAAGACCAGCAGTGCTTGTTGCCTCTTTGTTCAGTGTTGTTTTGAAAGGTTCACAAGGTGTTAAAAGGTGTACAGGTGCAGGCTAAGCTGCTTGGGGAATGTGTGCTGGCATTTTACAGATAACAGGCTGCTCTGCTTGGACTGCACTCAGTTGGATAAGTGGTGCATGGTGCAGTGTTGCTGTGTGAGCCTCTGGGTGTCCAAACTGCCCTGTGCAGCCCACAGACAGAGACCCTGTGTGGTGGGACCTGCAGTGAGGCAGGGCAGCACATCAGGCTGCAGAACCAGCTGCCCAGATCTGCTGCTGTGCAAGCATTCTCTCTCCCAGGGTACCCTCCCCTACCACACTGTGATAATCCAAGTCAGCTGGGTTCCCCTTGGACATCTGGGTTGGGTTTGCTTGCTAAACTTTATCATCTGCCTTCTTATTTTATTTATTTCCTGCTTTCAAGGCCCAGGAGGAAGAAGTAAGGAAGAAGTTCCGTCCCATAGAGCAACTGAAGGAAGAGTTTGAAAAGCTGAACGTGAAGATGGAGACGGATTATGAAATCATGGATAAACTGATCAGCAAATTTAACAGCTCTGCTTCCACGCTGGATGAAAAAGTAGCAGCGCTTTATGATCTTGAATATTATGTTCACCAGGTAACAAAAACGCATTTGTATCTACCATGTAAAATCCAGGGACTAAGGTTTCATAAATGCAGTTTTATTTTTCTTATCAGTATCAGGTAATATAAATTCCTTAATTAGCATAATCCTGGGACAATAACAGATAGTGGAGGGCTACTGCAGGCTTATTTTTTATCCGAGTTTGAATAAATCAGCACTCATAACAGTAGCAAGCAGTTTCCTAGGGGTTAGTGTTGCTTGATTTGTTGTCTGTTCTCAGGCTTTTTTTCCTGTCCTCTTTTTCTTTCTGTATATGTGTTAATATTGTGAAAATGGGTTTATCTGCAATTTTGTGGGTGAGTATAGTTGTGGCTGCTAGAAGAAAGAGTATTTTCTCGCTCCTTCCATGGGAAGTGTCTGTGGCTGCAGGTAGGTGCCCTTACACCAGCTGACAGAGAATGTCTTCGTACCAGGGATGATGAGAGACACCCAAAGCCTGTGTTTTGTCTTGACATGAGTAAGGAATGGCCTGCAGAGCCTCTCTCAGAGCTGGGCTGGTGGCAAAAATGACTGAAGGCTCAGGCAGTCGGCCAGTTGCTGAGCATCAGCGGAGCCGTGCTAATTAACTGTGCGTGAGGCTGAATATCTCCTGAAATCTGTCTTCTTCAATTTGCGCTCACATTTTCTTTTTCCCCCTCAGATCTCTCTTTGTGTGCTTTACGCTCACACGTTTTCAGCTTTGGTTTGCTGCAGGCTGTGGGCATATCACACTCCTCCTTTGTGGTCGGCCGCTGCGTGTCCAAGCATTGAGGCTGTGCACAGCCTTGGGGGAGGATGGGGTTTTCCCTGCCTAGCAACTGGGAGAACTGGAGCAGACTGGGAGAGCAGTTGCTCTCAGTGACTTCATCATTTCTGAGGGTGAATATGAACTCCTGAGAGGTAGCAGTGCAACACCTTTAACTGCAATGGCATTTATTTAAAAAATAAACACTTTTTTTTTTTTTTAAAGTTAGCTGAAGGAATGAGCTGCTGAGGATGGAGTCCCATGTTCCATCTAATAGAAGTGTTATTTCCAGGACTCTTTGTCTTGTATTTCTACATTAAATCTCTGTCATGCACACGCAGAGGCTTCCTTGCTGTTTGTTCTCAGTGCCTTTGTTTCACTGACGGCATCTGTCTGACTCAGAGAAAAAGTGTGAACAATGGGCGCCCTCAGAGCTTTGTATTTATTTATACTCGGGCTAATTCTTGTGGTTAAGGGTGCCAGAGCATCAGGCCAGCATGCTAAGAAGCAGCCCCCAAACACACTGGGATGCTTTGCTTTCCAGCATTGTGTTCTGGATTATTCCAGCAGAAAATCCTGCCTGCTTGGGGTGAATGATTTCAGACCAAGAGCAGCAGGGAAATGATCTCTGCTGCCTGGCCAGGGGCTGACCAGAGCATCAAAGGGAACCGCATCCAGCATCAAATGGGTCAGACAGGGGAAATGGCAGGGAAGCTGGCACAGAGCACAGAGGGCTCCTTTGTGCATCGATCACAACGCCGCTCTGTGCCTGTGCTGTTGGGGCAGATGGCTGGGCAGCACCTTCTCATCAGGCAGGAAGCTGATAAGAAATATGACTTGTCCGTAAGCCAGCATGGCTTTTCCTTCCCTTTCTTCTTCCAGTGACTTGAATGCGTCCAGAACATTATCTCCGCTTGGTACTGACTTGAGCAGCACTGCCTTAATGTAATTACTGAACAGCAGCCAGATCCGCCTGCGCCGCATTCCAGCGGGCTGACCCACGGCTGGGAGCCCTCTGCAGAGCTGTGCTGCTGGAGGCCTGGGGCAGCCAGCCTGGAGCACTACGCAGAGACCAGGGCAACCTGCTGCTGCTATGCTGACTGCTCATCTCCCAGAGCGCCTGTTGGGCGGCACGCATTGTGCCCTGCAAGCTAAGGATCATGTCCTGCTCCACGGCGTGGTCCTGGGCATCCTGGACCTGACTCACCATGAGGAGAACTGCAGGCAGGGGCTCAGTTCCTTGTCCCGAGTGCTGGCCCGAGGGCTCTGTACTTGCTGAGGTTTGGGTTGCCAGCTGTGCTTTGCTTCTCATCAGTCAGGATTCAAGTTGGCATGTTTGGGAGCCCATCTTGGAGGAAGGATTGGCTTGCTAGGTTATCTGTGATGCATAAAAACCAAATGCAAATGTGAAGAGGCCAGAGCATAACTCATTTATAAACAGAGTTCACGGTGCTTGCACAGCAGTGTGTGGAGCCAAGCCCGGCTCCATGCTTTGCAGGCTCTTTCTCTCAATTATTTACTCTCCTTATCTTTCTCCTTTTCCTCCTCTGACATGCTACACCATTTCTTGTTGCTAATTTCCTCTCCATTGCAGATGGTTGACATACAGCTTTTCCTCGCTCTTGTTCTCCAACATTTTCTCTCTCATCTCCCCTCCCCAGTTTCTTTCTCTTCCAATTTGAAGGCGTTCCCTGAGTAACTGCTGTCATATTTGTTTTTCTCCCATCCCTCTCCTCTCCATCCTTGCCTGTGTACTTTAGTGAAGAGCTCTTTTGATCTTTGCCTTTCTTCGTGCTGTTTTCAGTGGACTGAAGTGAGGCGCAGGCAAAGTGCCTCTCAGCAGCCTCTGCTCCCCAGAGAGGTCAGCGCCTCCGAGTTGTGGGGTTTGGGATTTCTGTTGTGGTTTTTGGTGTTCCTATTCTCAGTGGTGAGGGAAGGAGCTCGCACGAGATACTCCGGAGAAGAAAAGGATGCTGCTGAAAAAGGAATGCATCTTCAAAATAAGCTTTGCAGCACAATTAGTATGCTGTGGCAGAGCTCTCTGGCTGGCAGGACAGCTGCCCCGCAGGACTCTGCTCTCAGTGAGGATACCACAACGGTTGGACTTATCCCAGCTGCTGCTGGATGCAAACTTTCTGACCTGTTGTTGTCTAGTGAGTCTGTTCCCTCCTGAGCAGAAGGAAATGTCCAATTCTGGCCTTAAAACAGCCTCCGAGTTCTTACAGTTGGAACCATCAACGCCCCTGGCAGTGGGTGAATTTAGGTTGCTGTATAGGTTTCTTTGTAGACAAAGATGGTCCTCAGAAAAGTAAGAGGTCTGGCAGATCCAGCCTGTAGGGCCAGTTAAAAGTAGGATCTGAAAGGATCAAACAGCTGCTGCAAGTCCTGAATGAGCTGCAGCAAACCCACAGAGATGGGCTTTCTGTTGGCAGCTTTGCAGCTGGACAGCAATTGGCAGCTATTGTCTGAGTGGGGAGAACGGACGAGCTATAGCTCCCCAGTTCGTGCTTGTAAAGGCTTGTAGGACGTAAAGCTAAATAGTTTATTCATTCTCTTGGGTACCTGAAGTGTCTGACGTATGGCCAATTTTGGTGAAGGTACACGGTCAAGATAAAAATAAAGCTAAGCACGAAGGAACTGTCAGCTAAGAGGGAACATGGAAGCGGTGTGCAGTGTTTATTCTGTCCTACTCCGTCAGCTCAGCACTCTCACTGAAATGAGGAGGTCATTTGGTGCAGTTATTCTAATTTTTATGTTCTGTTTGCATCCACCAACATGACGCTGTTGTCTTTGTGTCTTTCACAAAAGAAATTTTTTGCACAAGCAATTCGGCAAATTTGTCAGACATTTCCTTTTAAGCTGCAAAAAAAAGCCTTTAAAACCAAAACGCATCGATTTGACTTTGGGCTGAATTTTGTACTGGAAGCACTTGGCTCTGTTTCTCTGACTTTTATTTGCAAACCACCCAGAGCCCTTTTTTAATTTTCTCCCTAAGAACAGATGTCCGCTGTGATTTTTGTCTGGTTTGCCCCACGTCTCCTTCAAGTCAGAGACTGATGAATTTCCTGGAGGAATTCCCACTAACGTTTAAACTTTTCCCTAGTGGCACTTAGTCCAATATTGTCGGATTTAGAAAAATCATTGTATGTGCTGCCCCAGGGAAAAGCTCCTTGCTGGCGCTCCGAACAGGGACTGCCTGCGTGCTGTTCACATCTGCATGGAAGTTTTGATCGTGGTCATGAAAAACGCCTGGAACAGCCATGCAGCTGCTGATAGGCTCTTAGACATTTGTAACTCCTGGTGCTACAATTAGAGCATTAATTAATTAATTGCGTTTGCAAAACAGATGATTCCCTGGGTTCCAGTAATGGCCGCTCAGGGGAGCGAGCAGAGAATTTTTTCTTCTGACACGGCCAGGTTTCCTGCACTCCCAAAGCACGTGCTGAGGGAAGTTTTGATAGCTAATCCAAGTGGCAGCAATGCCTTCTGCATTGGATAATAGCCACCTGTCAGCAGACACATGACGTCCATTGCTCACCGGCAGCATTGTATGAAACATCCGCCACGGTTGCTCTGTTAATTTAGAATTGCTTTTAAAGCTCAGAGCTGATGAGATGGGGAGGGACGGGGAGATGATGCGCTTTCTGAAGCAAGGCGCTCCTGAAGAACTGCTGAATCGGGTCTCGAGGCCTGTGGCCGTTCCATGCTGACAGGGATCTGCTCTCTCCCAGGTGGACAACGCAAAGGATTTCCTGTCCATGGGCGGACTGCGGCTGGTGATCGAGGGCCTGAACAGCACAGAGGCTGTCCTGAAGGAGCACGCTGCCTTTGTGCTGGGAGCTGCACTCTCCAGGTGAGCTCTGCCCCTCACACCAGGTGTGCCAGGCGCTTGTCCTCGGCCTTCTGGTTTATTTTCGATAGCCAGAGCTGGCAACTTTTCTCCTCCTGCAACACCCAACTTTCCTCTTCCCCCGCCCAGCCCTTTCCTTGCAGCCCTTCGCTTCCCCCAGGCTTCTCTTCAGTGCATCCTCACCCTGCTCATTAAACTTAGCCAGAAGTAATTCAGCATGGAAACTGATTGCTTTTTTCACTGAGCTCCTCATTTTTGCACAATCCAAGGGGAATACTACTGCCTCTCCTCCTTTCCCCTTAGCAGCCTTTTGGGAGGGAAGATTTCAAGGATGATGCAGTTATGATTGCCCAGAGAACTCCTTTCTCCCTCCTATTCCTTGCTCCTAGGCTGCTTTAGGACAGCGAGACGCTGATTTCAGAAACATAGCAACTCTCATGATCTCTGAAAGTTTTGTTTTTATCCCTGGGGACACATGCCTCTGACCTACAGGCATAACCTAAAGGGTTTCAATTAGGCACAGGGTTACAGATTGATCTGGAGGATGCTTGTGATTCACTACAGGATGGCTATTGCCCAAAGGAGCTGCCCAGGCTGCCTGGTGCCAGCTGGGAATCTGTGTCACTCAGGCATGCCACATGGGCAGAAGGGGCTGTGTTGGCACTCGTTTTGTTTGATGGCTCTCTGGGCTTTGTCCTGAGCACATATGTGTTGTGCATTCATCTGAGACTTCACAAATGCATTGGATGGACCCAAACTTCAAGTTCAGAAGCTCAGACTGAAGATTGAAAGTCAGGGCTATTGTATCTGCCTATTTTTATGCCTGAAAATACGATCACTTTCTCCACCGTTATAAATTATTTATCACTTAGTCTAATATATAGTCTGCAGATCTATATTTCTTTTGCAATCTTATATACAATGCAATTGGTCTACAGCATATGTAAAGTAATGTGGCTTCAGTGACAGCAGCAGGTGCCCTGATTTACACCAGGAAATGATCCAGCTCGTGGTTCGAAGCAGAGCTTTGACTCACTGATCACAGTAAGATTCAGTCCTTCACTTCAGAAATGCAGACCTGCTCTTCCTATGCCAGCATGCATTAATATTTGAAACAACGTTATAATCTTTTCCTTAGGATCTTTAATGGCACGTGGATGTTTAATTATGTTTCGTGAAGAGAAAGTCATGCAGGGGCTCTGGAAACATTTAAAGAAAACCTACAAAATAAAAAGGGACTACTGAATCCTGTCTTCCCTGACTTAGCTAATGTGACATTATCAGGACTCGAGAAATTAATTGTCTGACTACATGAGCATGTAGCAGTGGCTGATGAAACTAATGCTTTGCTTAGTGTTCCTCAGTTGAAAATGCCTTTCTTTGGACAGAAACTGTACTTTTCTAATGTGACAGTGTGAAAATATAACTTTGGAAACTTTTAAGCCTTTTTTCTTTAAAGGATATTCTGACAGATGGTAATTTTTAGTGGTTCAGATGAAGCATTGTCTGAGAGCTCAGTTCCAAAATGTGAGGAAATATTATGCCTCGGTTTTGAGTTTGCTTTTTTCTCCTTACTGTGCTGTGCTTAAGCTTTCTCAGTAGACACCTACATGCCAACTCATCTGCTTTGTGCTAGCTGCTTAATTTGTTTGTTCATACATTTTCTCAGGTTACTCTGTGCTCTGTTTTAGCTGCCAGGGGCATTTCAAGCACTTAATGCCAAGCATTTTTGGTTGTGTTTTGTTCTTCGAAGGGGTTGTTATTTATTTCTTTCCCTCAGAGTTGTTCCTTATGGCCTCAGTCAGGCTGTAGGAATTTTCTTGAAGTGCCTGGAGGTGCAGCATGCTGGGCTGTGGGGCTGTGAGCTGTGCTCACGTGCTGGTACCAGGTCCTGTGCTGGATGTCTGGGCACTGAAGAGGCAGCAGTCTCCTGCTCACAACCACCTAGCAGCTGCTTGGCCACCTTCCACAGCAACTAGCTTGGCTCAGGGCAGGGGTTTCAAGCTAAGCAAACCTTCCCCCCAAAAATCAGATTGTGATTGTAGCAGCTCCTCAGCCAGCCTGGGATAGCTGGAGCTCCTTCTGTAGCTGAACCTGGAGGAGGGAGCTTTACCTGTGCGATTGTGAATAGGCAAAGTTGTTTTATGCCCAAAAAAACCACAGGGCTCTGAGCAGTCTCAGACCTGTCTGAGTCAGAGCCAGAAGTTGTAAAAAACAAACAAACAAACAAACAAACCAATATTCAGGTTTTCTTCAGGCATTCTTTGTCTCCGACTGTTCAGGTAGGTATGGGTGTGAAGCTGGTGAGGGATGGAGCAGCCAGGTGCATCACACTGATCTTGCTCTGCTGCACAGAAAGCAGCTATGCTCTCATATAGAGTCCTCTGATTTCCCAAGTTCACAGTCTAAAACCAAAACCCCAACTTCTGTCCCCGGACTTGGAACTGCTGAGTGACCTGCTGCAGGGTGAGCAGGAGTTGGAGATTTCTCCCCTTGCTTTGGTCATGGTTTCACTGTGGATTGCTGCTGTAGGATGGGTGGCAGTGCTGCCTCAGGCTGTCACTGGAGCTGCCTGCCTGCAGTCCAGCTGAGTTCTGGCTCAGAGCTGAAAACCCAGTTGGAAGAAAATGGTTTTCAGGTATCAGCAACTGGAGCCCTCGGGCCGTGTACCCGTGTAAGATACTGAGTCAGCACAGGAAGGAGGAGGCAGAGGGCACAGCAGGGGCGATTCAAGATTTCTGCTCCTTGCATGAAATAGCGCAGAGGAGTCTGGCTCCCAGAGCAAGGACTCACAGAGTCTGCTTGCCTGGGTGTTGCTGGGACGGATGCCATCTTCCAGGTATCCATCTGCCTGTGTTTGTGAGCCTCCCTCTTGGAAGAGGGTGATCTGATAGGAAAGAAATCAAAATTTCATCTCTTGTTTCTCTTATATGTCCTTCATTTTTGACATTTGGGGTTTAATCGCCGCGTTTGTGACCAAATCAAACATCGTTCCATCTGGCAGAGCTCTCTGAGCGCTGCCCTTATTGCAACTCTGCAACCTCATCACAGTCTCACTGTTCTTAAGCCTTTAACAAAATGTTTTCCATTCAGCAGTTTACAAAAGTAAACTTCATTTGAACAATCCTCAAGTGCTCTGATTGCAAATAAAAGTTAAATGCGCTAACAAAAATAATTGCTAGGCATGTGGGATTGTACATTTAGGTATCCATAATTCACTAACAGAATATGCCAATACACAACATTATCTGGATTTTCAGTGATTGCATTAGCATAAAAGCATGTTAGCGTTTATCCAGTGGTACTAACATTTAAATATATATAAAGTATGAAATATTAAGATACGGCATTTTGGAGGCAAGTGAAACTACTGTCTGTAAAACGTTCTTGCATATTTCTGAAGGTACGCTCCAGCATCTTCGGGTGACAATCAGCATTTGCACCACTGGGTCCAAACATTGCAAAAATGTCAATGTTTTATGCAAAGAGGAGCTATATTAAGCTAAAAAGATTGCTGATGAGAGAAGTGTCTTCTGATGTCCTCTAAGCTATTTACAGGCAGCATCTTCCTTTGTTCGCAGCACAGCCAGGCCTCTGCAATTTGTATCTAGATGTTTCACAAGGCTGGAAATGTTAGCCAGGAAGGATTATGTTTGTGATTAAAACCTCAATTTTTAAAAACTTTACCACCGGGAAACATTTTTCCACACCAATAATTTGAGCATTTTAATATTTTGTAATAAAAGGATTTTTGTAATCCGTTTAAAAGGGGAACAATAATTTATGTCAAATGCATTCTTGGAGCTTTATCCCAAATGCTCCCCATATGCTTAGGGGTGAATTAGAGGTGAGGACGGAGAGAAGCTAAGCCATGCAACCTGTGAGGCAAAGAGAAGCAGTTGGTATTTCGTGGGGAGAGGCAGAGAGGGCAAAAAGTGAAGAATGAGCCACATGGGGAGTCAGGACTGCAGTTCTGCTAAAGCTGCACAGCCACAGACAGGGTGTCAAAGCAGTTCTCTGAGCCTGTGTTGCTGTGCGTCCTGGCGGGATGCTGGGCAGTCCCATCTCAGCTTCTTAGGCTGGGAGACCTTTCAGTAAGCCCAGAGCTGCCAGGATCTTGCTGTTCCCCGCTTCGGCTTGGTGAAATCTTTGGGAGCAAACTAATCACAGCTGGTAGACTGAGCATTGTCTTGTAACAGCCCTTAAGGTTCCTAGGGATGCCTCATGTCAGCCCACTGCTTCTCTTACCCATTTAGTTTGAGATTATTAATGCCTCAAACTACAACTGTGTGCATCACAAATATCCCAGCAGCCACTATTCCCCCTTCCAGCCCCAGGGTGTGTTTGGAGCTTGCTCAGGTGCACGTGTATTGCTCAGCATCACGATGTGCAGCTGTTTTCAGTTTGGCTTCTGCTTTTTCTTCATCATCTTCTTTGTGGGCAGGGCTGGGGGAATGCTGCCTCCCATCCCTGCTGTGTGTGTATTTGGAGGTGCCTGTTCTGCAGTGTATGGCTGCTGTGTTGTGTCAGAGGAGTGCTGGCTCCTTCCAGGGTGTTTTTGTCAGAGGAAAATGTTCCCACCAGATTTAATGGTTTTAAGTTCAGTTTGACCTCGCCACAGAACTGGTTGATGCTCACTGCTGTTTGATATTTAGGTCCAGTGTTAAGCAATAAAACTCAGGAAAAGTGAAATTAACGACCTTGCTTCAGTTCTGTCTCATCAGGACATAAGAATCTCCAGGCAGCAAAATACATGTAGTTAGCTTAACAAGCACTGTCCCTACCCATTTATTTCAAATCCATCTTCATGTTTGTCTCTTCCTCCTCCGGCTTCTCTTTTTACACCCTACAATCTTTTCCCATCTCTTTATTCATTTTCACTGTTTGCTTCAGTGGCCTTGTTTGACAACTTTGTGTGCTTGCCACCTCTCAGATGCAGTAATTCTCGCTCGACTCCCTGCCCAATGGTAATTTCTTGCTTTGTAGATTCTCTTCTATTTTTA